AAGATGAAAGACGATAAATCGAAAAGACTGTCGCCGTTGGGTCGTGTCACCTCGCGTCACGTCGCGTCGCTTTCGCTCTTCGTCGCGTACGACGCGAAATCGATGAGCTCATCGGCGCAGAGGAGCTGACGGAATTTCTCCCATTGATACCCACTACGCTCTCGCAGGCGCAACGTGTCCGTTCTACGTAGAAATTTACGCTCTGACCAGCAGCAGCCTTGACATTCCGCGGGAGAGACGTAGCTCCTACCGAGCGATACATGCCATGGAAGAGTCCTCCTCTCGATTTACGGATCATGCGACGATGCTGACCGCTCGTTAAGTTCCGAGATGTAACGAGTTTGACCTCGACGAGCGAAATTAGGATAGAGCGAGAGATGAGCCGTTGCGATAGAAAATTCGTTGGAATTAACTCCCATCAGAGCGATACGGAGGCCTTGCGACGCCGAAGTTCGTCTCGTGTAATTAATGTCGAACTTCTTTGCCACACTACTACTCGCTTTTCACGTAAGAATGACTTTTCATATCGATTCGAAAATTACTTTCACCGTCACAACTTTAATTACGTATGTTTACAAAATTTTTCTCAGATGAAAATATCTTTGAAAATATTTTGAATTTGCAAAGGAAGATTTTTCGGTACGTGAATCGAACTTTGGGAACGCATATATCACGAAGCATATATCACGCAACATACTTCGCAGCTACTTTTCTCAATGTGTCCAAGCCAGACGACTTTCAATCTCGACCGCAAACTTTTCCCTCAGTTCACTTCGTACGCTTTTTCTGGATAAGATGTTATTTGTGCCGTACAGTTATACGCCCGCGGCGATTTTCTTGGCATGCCAGACTGAGACCTACGTTAAAATACAAACGTGAGCATAATAATATACAAGACAGCTCCCAAAATTATTTCGGGGATACCTATTTTATTTTATTTTTGATAATCCGAGATAAGACCGCATTAATCTTGGATCTAACGGTTTTGAGATTGAATATTAATTATTTATATATTTAATAATGTAATCAAAACAAGGAATACGTTAGATAGATATTACTTAAATTTATCTCTATTATTTAATCATCGACGGATGAATAGAGGCCGCAGCTGGCTTAAAGAATAT